CTGGAGCCATTAGTGCAACGGTTTTGCTCTGGTCACATATAGTCCCATTTCTCCTCTCCTGGGCACATGAGAGACCCCACTTGGTGGTTTGGTAAGTACAGTTTGTTTTATGTGAGCATCCACTGTTTTGTAGCTTTCCTCCTTGACTGAAACATTCCATCCTTCAGGGAAGCTCCTTAAGAGAGTAAGTAAACAACCCAAATGGCTTCAGGAAGTCCCTGAAACTGACCAGATTCACTAGGCCCCTCCCGTCCAAGAGGAAACAATAAAGAACTGCGGAGAATTGCTCTTAAAGGAACCAAGATACAAAGAAGACTCAGAGCGGCTGAACTGCCTAGAAGGACCAGAGAGCAGCCCAACTGCCTGGAAGAGGCGCAGATGAACTGAGGCATCTGGAAAGGGCACCCTCCAACCTGATGAACTGCCTGCAGGCTGTGTAGTGTGCTGTGCAGTGTGCAGGTTTCCAACTTTTGTGAGCTGTCCCCCGTGCTGGGGTGGGCACTGGTGATGCAGCTGTCTTTGAGTCATTTCTGCTCCTCTAAGTAACCCCTCATACATATTCCTCTAAGTTACCTCACTAAAACTCATAGGTTCACCAACTTGGACTTTGGTGGTATCCGTACTTTGGTCAACAGAGTAGATGTGTGTTGCGTCTCCTTAGGAAAAAGTCTGTCGCACAACATCAACATATGTCAATTGGGTAGAAACACTTAAAAAGAATGATTGATTCTCCCAACCTCCCCTTCACTGTGGCTAGGAATGCTAAAGTTGTGTTTTGGTAACAATGCCTGAGGTGGTGAACTCATCAGCCTGAGTCCCTGAGTAGCTACAAGGAGAAAGCCCCATATTGACTCCCCTAATAAGCTTACATTGGCTATACCATAAGCAAGAAATAAACTCCAATAAGACAGTGATGTTTGGGGGCTGTTTGTTACTGCAACAGAATATGGCACATTCTGACTGTTGCACACAGTTTTGCTTAGCAGAACCCTTGGTAGCTAACATTTCCCTAAGTGCTAACTAAACAATGATGGGGTAAGTGATGCACCTTTGCCTAGTTCTAGGGATTAACCTGAATGGGGTGATGAAGGAATGGAGAAATGGCAAACACGTGGACACATACACTGTAGGTAAAAGGTCCGGGCTCACTTTTGAGTTTGGAATTCACCAATTCTGAGCTCAAAATCCCACCAATCTCTGAGCTCTCCTCAAGCTCAGGACTTGAAATCCCACCAATCCCTACCCTAGAAATCTTCACCCTGGAAAACTCCTCCCCAAGAAACCATATGTAAACCTGCTTTCCTGCTTAGTTCTTGGCGGCTTCTCCCCTGAGCAGAGGCAGCAACCTCTTGTATCTTTCACAATAAGTCACTTGTGTGAGGTTTGCTGTGCACTGTGACTCTGGTATTCCTTGGCTCCTGACTGCCAGGACACCTTTTTCCCTCCGAGCTACAAGTCTTCCATTGGGAAGACCTTGCCCTTCAGAGCTGCACCACTCATGCATACAGAGAAAATCAGGTTGGGTGAACTGAACTCTCTGATGGAGGAGCCTCAGCACCCCCAAACCCAGCATGTCTTATTATCCAGAGTTGGACAGAGAGGCAGGGTTTAGAGTATACAGATGGACCAAGGGGACAGGCTTAGCTAATCTCAGTAGGGATGTCTCAATAGGGGAGGGATCTTCCGTTTATAAATATTGGGTGGGGAAGGAAGCTATGGTGGACATTTTCTGCACACGGTGTCATAATTCACACTTAGAGCCCTGGGAAAGGTTTTGCCATCCCTTCGAGTCTCACCTGAGGAAGGCTTTGTCACCCTCACAGGGCTGAGGCATTGGGATCCTTGACGTGGCTGCAAATGTGTCAAATATGTCCATTCGTTCAGGACTTTATTCACTTGGGTCCTCCTCTGCTCCCCACAGGAGAGAGAGAGACTTCAATGCACTCATAATGAGAAGGGTTTACTCCCTGATCTCTTGAGAATTTATAAGGGCTACTATTCAGGCATCTCTGGATCCATTTGAAAATGAGTAGCTCCCATTCCCAGAATTCTATTGGACTAGGTATATCTGCAAAATTGTCTCCCAGGGGCTAGTTTAGTGTTTATATTTGTTCAAAAATTCATCCAAGTAAATGATCATTTAAAAGCTGGTCACCCAACCCAGGCAGAACTAGAGCAAAGCCTTGAGGCCAACTCCTGAACCCATTCCAAATGAAAGGAAGGGCATTCCTCTCAAGGCGACACCTTGTTCCTCAGTAACGCAGGCTGTGTGCCCATGGTGGACTTCCATGGTTACCCAAACACAGAGATCTGCCCTCCAGGACTCTTGTGATCTTCACTCGGTCTCCATGGCCACAGCACACAGTTGAGCAAACAGCACTTCTTCCTCATCAGAGTCTCACATTTAGAAAGGAAGACATTCAGAGAAGCAGTTTGCTTCAAAACACTGGAGTCAATGAGCAGGTTTAGAGTCGTGAATATTGTGACCAAATGAAGGCAAGTCAAGATTTAGGAATCTAATTTTCCACCACTAGGAGAATGGCTACTCAGAACACTCCATTCAACAGTTGTTGATATTTCAACATAGTATTGTTTTTATTTTATTTTTTTACTTTGTGTCTGGTTCTGGAGAAGAAACCCAGGATTTTATATATGCTAGGCAATTGTTCTACCACTAGGCCACACTCCCAGACGAGAGTGATTTTCTTTGTATTTTGGGGACAGGGTCACATGTAGCCCAGGCTGGCTGAGAACTGGCTGTACATTTCAGAATTACATCGAACTTCTGCTCTTCCTGCCTCCACCTCCCTAGTCATATGCAACCAGGCCTGGCTTATGTAGTGCTGGGGATGAAACAGAACCCTTTGCTTTGTGCATGCTAGGCATGTACTCTATAAGCTGAGTCATAGCTCCAATCCCCAAAGAATATATTGTAAATAATAGTATTTTATAAGTTATAGAGATCCTGGTTTTTTGATAATGGTAATGATAAAAGAATAGCGCCATTCTTAGGAAATACTAAGGTACTTAGGGGAAAGTCATAATATTTGCATTCCAAACTATTAATAAGAAATAATGTGCCAGCACTACACAGAAAAAGGTTTTTTGTCTCAAAAAACTAAGAAAGGAAGGAAGAAAAGAAAGAAAGGAAAGAAAGAGAAGGAAGGAAGGAAGGAAGGAAGGAAGGAAGGAAGGAAGGAAGGAAGGAAGGAAGGAAATATAATGGGAAGAGAGAGAGGGAGAAAATGTGGCCAAATGCCTAACAGTTTGGGAAACTTAGGCAAATGGCAAAAATATTCATTTCACTATTGCAATTTTTCTGCAGATATAAAACCTTTCAAAGTAAAATCTTTAAAAATGCCAGAACACTGGGTCCTCTGCTCTAGCCTGCTCTGCCTTATTCCCTTGTGACAAGGTCTGTTCGGAACCTGGAGCTCACAAATGGTTTTTGGCCAGGCTGGTGTCCAGCAAATTCCAGTAGTTCTCTTATCCCCACTCCACCACCGCACTCAGATTATAGACATGCTCAGGACCGTGACCAGCTTTGTACATGGGGTCTGAGGATTTGAACTTAGGTCCTCATACTTATACAGCAAACACTCTTACTGACTCAGCCATCTCTCTGGCCCCCAAAGTAAACTGTCTCTTTAAAATCATGCATGCTCAAGAGCCAATGAGATGGCTCAGCAAGTTAAGACGCTCACCACCAAGCCTGACCATGAGCTTTCAATCCCCAGGACCTGCGTGGTTGCAGGAGAGAACTTCCACAGCCATCTTCTGACCTCCACACATGCCATGGCCTGAGGGTACCTCCCTGATGAATATGTGTAATTTTAAAAGTTAAAAAACAGCAACAAATGCCTGTGCCAGACCAGCAGCTTTGACATTTTAAAACTATAACCCACCCTAAAATATAAATCACAGCAACCCAGTATACACATATACATGCAATATGAAAAAGAGTATGCAAATTACAGGCTTCACAGCATGATGCTTACTTTTTTTGTTTGCTTTTTCAAGACAGGGTTTCTGTGTGTAACAGTCCTGGCTGTCCCTGAACTCGCTCTGTAGACCAGGTTGGCCTCGAACTCACAGAGATCCATCTGCCTCTGCCTCCTGAGTGTGAGGATTAAAGGCGTGCGCTACCTGGCTACAATGCTTATTCTTATCTCAAATGTGACACTTTGTGACTTTCCTAGTCTAACATGTTTTTGTTGTTAGATTTTGGGCTTTTTGTATGGTGCTGCACTGGAGATACAACACATGCCCTTGCAAATGCTACATACACTCTGTTACTGAGCTACACCCCAAGCCCCTCATGCCTGTTTGCTTTTAAAGATTTATCTTATTTCTAATCCTCTATGTGTGTGCTTACAATCCTGTATGTGTGCACTTACATGTGTGTGTGTGCGAGCATGTGTGTGTGAACGCAGTGCCTGTGGAGGCTAGAAGAGGATGTCAGATCCTTAGAGATGGAGTCATAGGTGGTTGTGAGCTGCTCAACATTGATGCTTGCAACTGAACTCCAATCTTCAAGAGCAGTGTGCGCTCTTAACCAATGAGCCATTTCTCCTACCTCTTATGTATTGTTTTTAATGCTGGTCATTACCCATTCAACTGAATTAATAGCCACTGAAGGGGATCCCTCCTTCAGTGCTTCCTCCTGGACCCCAGAGTAGGCACAAACTACATCCAAATACCTGTATTTTACAGAGAGATCTTTCATTAAGCAGGAAAGAAAAGCCAAGTGGCTGCTTTCTGACCCGGGCGGAAAACAGCAGCAAGCAAATGACCTTGCAGGTGTCCTCCTGGGCGGTGGTGGCGCAAGCCTTTAATCCCAGCTCTGAGGCAGAGGTAGGCAGATCTCTGTGAGTTCGAGGCCAGCCTGGTCTACAAGAGCTAGTTCCAGGACAGGCACCCAAAAAAAAAAAAAAAAAAACTACAGAGAAACCCTGTCTCAAAAATTAAAAATTAAAAAGAGAGGGGGGGGGGGAGAAAAGGGGAGATCCGTGTTAGAATGGGCTAGGATGCTGTGGTAAAGGAGACAGGGATAAGGGAGAGGGGAAGGGGCCAAGGGGAAAGGGGAAGTGGTACTTGTCCTGGAGGAACAAAGGACTGCCTCTATATAGATAGGAGACTGATTTAGGCAAATGACAGTTTATAAAGGTAAAGGAGGAAACCTCGTGTTAGGGTAAGGTGTTTAATTTTAATTGGGCATGTTAATTAGGTAAGCCAAAGGGGGATTTTGATTGCTGGACTCTGGTAGTCAGCCCCAGGAGGAGGAAGTGGCCAAATAAGGAAAAAGACCTTTAGGCTAGCTTCGGGAATGTAATCTAACAGTTCTTAGCAAAGCAGAGGAAATGGGTAGCAGGGCCAAGCCTGCCAGAGCCACATGCTCGAGTGGGCTAGTGTCCCTTCAGCCAAGCAGTAGGCAAGCATATTTGAACACTGCAGTAGTTTTGACTTAGTACTACTACTTGGTATTAAGAAATACTATTGCTGGGCATGATAGCACATGCCTGTAATCCCAGCAACTGAGGGGGTTGACTTCAAGGACGGCTATTTAGTGAGACCCTGTCACACACAAACACACACAAAGCATGCATGAAATTATCAAAGAATTTAAAAAATCATATTTTTAAAAAAGAAAAAATACTGTTGCCATTGATGGCTTGGCACCCTAATCTGTGTGGGTTTTGAAAACTCACTCTCTATATACAAAGAAAGGAACTCAGCACGTGAAGACTACATTTCCAGGACTTTGACAAATACAGCCCTCACTGTTCACAGTGTGGACACAAACTGGTGATGTGGGAGTCCCCTCTGTGTGCTGTGATTACCATTAATGAATAAAGAAAATTGCCCTAGACCTATAGCAGGGCAGAACTTAGGTAGGCAGGGAAAACTAAGTTGAATGCTGGGAGGAAGAAGAGTGGAGTCAGAGAGAAGTCAGGGAGCTGGCTGGAGATAGACGTGCTAAAACTTCACTGGCAGGACACGACCTCATGGTGATGCACAGATTAATGGAGATGGGTTAAACTAAGATGTAAGAGTTAGCCAATAAGAAGTTAGAGCTAATGGGCCAAGCAGTGTTTTAAATAATATAGTTTCTGTGTGATTATTTGGGCTCTGGGTGGCCAGGACAAACAAGCAACCCCCTCCTACAAACTGAAGCATCTGTTTAGCAGACACATGGCACATTTGCTGACCTGATCATCTGATGGCCCATTAGGAACCTGCACCTATTGTGATAAGTTCAGAATGATTCTACTGCAATTATGAACTAAGATGAGAGGTGATTGGGCAGTTTTTTGTGTTGTCTTCAGTGATGAATATAGAAGCCAGGTCTTACCCATATTAGGCATGCACTCTACCACTGATCCACAACCCCCAACCCACGGGCCAACAGTTAGAGGGCAGCCTGCCAGTGCCCAAAGAGCTGCCAATTCCGGAGCTGACAAGACAGTCAACTTCAGCTCTTTTCCACATCCACCCGAAGAAACGCCAGTGTGTCAGGGACCCTGGGTGGGATTTGGCATCTGTACCCTCATATACCCCACACTCAGAGTACCTGAACATTCATTACAGGTGCTGGTGACCTTTGCCCTTAGGCATGCACCTTGAGAAATCTGAGTTCCCCTTCCCAGGTCCTTGCTGCTTTCTTCCCTCTTGGCCATTAGTCAGTCTCCATGCGAGCAGCTCATAATAATTTCATATTAACAGCTGGAGATGCTCTATCCTGCATCTGGTGAGAAGAGATATGCTTCTTGTTAGGGATTTTCTCTGCTTTGAGTCTCTCCACCAACATAAATAATTCCAATTAGAGTGAATTAAAACGAATTAAAAGATGCCCATGTTTAATAGATGGCCTTACTCCCGAGTCCCCCCCACCCCGGGAAACATGGAGAGGGGAAGACTACGCAAAACCCAGAGGCCATGTGTTCATTCTCTGGCTAGCAGTTTAAATAGCCTGTGGGAGTGGTCTCAACCTTCCCTGGGGGGGGTACCATTTGGCAGGCTTTCTTGACCCTCCCTAGGGAGGGTTCACCATTTGGCAGTCTTTCTTGGAGGTGGAGTTTGGACTGAGGCAACTCCTAGGGGAGGGAGCTTATGCCAGGAGCTGGAGTGATGCCCCCAGGCAAACAATCCCAATTTTTTGTATAAAGGGGTGTTAGGGAGCTGAGGTGGTGCTTTAAAGGGGTGCCAGCAAACTGAGGTGAAGCCCCTCAACCAAACATTTCCTTGGATAAAGGGGCACCAGCTCAAGTCTGGCTGCTTCCTGTTGGCATGGGACGACATGGGAAAGGGGAGAGCTGGGAGTTGGTGGGCTCACGCTCAGAGAGATGTGGCTGGAGAGGCATCCTGTTTATTGCCATCCTGGAGACCTCAGGCAGCTGTTTCTTGAGGAGATGAGAAGGCAGGTAGCTAGGAGAACCAGGAAAGAGGATTTGTTCTTCCTTGAAAGTTCACAATACATTGAAAGTTCACAATAGCATTTGAAAGACTGAAAAGTCTTACATTAGAGAAACTGGTCTAACTTTAATTTTAGCATTTTATAAATGTGGTCCACAAACACACCTTACTATAGGTCTTACAGTGCCTATAGTAAGAGATCAATTGTGGTATAAAAGACGTGAGTCTGTTTTCCATTCCTCTTAATGGAACACCTCAGACCTCAGCAACCACCGCCTGCTTTGGATCTCAGTCTCTTTCCCAGGCTCCTTCTCTAATGGTCTGTCCGCCTTCCTGAGCCTTGTTATTCCTAAGCCCCTGGGAGCAGAAGGTAGAAAAGATATGGATTGGATTTAGTGGGCTACTGGAGCAGAAGAGGTGATGAGTTCTTAGTACTTAGCCAATGGAGTCCCGCTTTAATTTAGGGCTCGTAGATATTGTTGCCTGGAGGTGGAAGGATGGGAGTTCCGGGAGCTTCCATTCCTCATCTACCCACCCAAGAGAGCATGTTCATTCTTCTCTTCTTCAATGGATGCCCATGTGAGAAGAGCAGAAACGTATACCCACTTAGATGTCATTTCCCAGAGTGCTCCTCTGCCTAGGGCTATCTTTGGAGCAAGAATTTTTGTCACCAACCCCAATCGTATTACCTCTCTTCTCACTACAGACACTCCAAATCACAGCCAAGTCAGCCTTCCCCTGTTGACCAAAGTGGTTTGGGTCACTTCAGTGAGGCAAAGTCAATCCCTCTGTAGGCTGAACACTACAGACTGTGCTAGGGTTAGCAAGAGGCAAGAGACGAACAGAAACATGGCCTTGCAGCCTAAGACCTCCACTCCAAGGGAGGGAAGGCTGTCATACATTGAGCCGTTGACCAGCTCCCAGGTGGTGTTGGCTACTTCCTCCACAGGGGCCCTTGGGGCCAGCAGCTTGGAGAGGAGGCTACTGAACCTGCTCACGGTGGTGGCCACTGGCTCTGGACTGGGGCCTGGGCTGGATGTGGTGAAGTTCAGCTCCTCGGGGTCCATACACAAGCCATCAGAGGAGTGCTCAAAGACCACCTGGCTGAGGTCCAGGCCGGCCACAGAACCTGGGGAGGCACATGCCACATCAGCCACACGCCCAGAGCCCTCCATCCAATTGCGCAGCCACTCCAGATGGCAGTCACAATGCCAAGGGTTGCGGAAGAGGAAGAGGTGGCCCAGAAAGAAGCCTTGCTGGAAAGCGGTCCAAGAGAGCATGGTGAGGCGGTTGCCATTGAGATGCAGGGCCAGGAGGCCCGAAAGGTTCTGGAAGGCGCCTTCCTCCACAAAAGTGATGCTGTTGCGGTCCAGGTAAAGCAGCTCGAGCTCTGCCAGGTCGGAGAACCAGGCCCGCGCCACTCGGCCCAGCTCGTTGCCACCCAGATTGAGTGTGCGCAGGCGGCGCAGGCCTAGGAAGGCAGCGGCAGGCAGCGCGGCCAGCAGGTTGTCATTGAGCAGCAGGTGCTCTAGGGCTCCGCAGTCGCTAAAGGCCCCGGCGTGCACAGCCCGCACGCGGTTGGCCTGCAGGCTGAGAGAGCGCAGGTGCCTCAAGCCCCGCAACGAGCTGGAGGCCACGGCCTCGATGCGGCTGCGCTCGAAGTGCGCGTGCGTCAGGTTAGCCAGGCCGCGGAGCGCGCCGGGTACCCGACGGAACAGATTGTCGAAGGCCGTGAGCTCTCGCAGGGCGGGCAGCTCGGCCAGGAGACGCTCGGGCACGCTGAACAGGCGGCAGGCCGCCAGGTCCAGGCGGCGCAGGCGACTGAGCGCCGCGAAGGTTCGGGCATGCAGATAGCGCAGCTCACCATTGTGCGCCAGGCGTAGCTCGGCCAAGCGAGGTAGACCCTTGAAGGCGCCAGGCGTGATGAAGGACAGGTTGTTGTGGCGCAGCGACAGGCGGCGCAATGACGGTAGCGTGCCAAAGGCCCGCTCGCCCAGCATGCGCAGGCCATTCCGGTCCAGGTCGATGGAGACCGCCTCGCATGGAAACTCAGTGGGCACCCGCAGGAGACCAGCACGGTCGCAATGAACGGAGCAGCCACGCTCCATGCTGCGGCACGTGCAGGCCGCAGGACAGGCCTGCAAACAGGCCTCGGTGGCCCGGGTGCAGGGCAGGCCGAAGAAAACCGCTGGACAAGAGAGGGGCCAGAAGAAGAAAAGACAAAGAACAGTAGTCAGAAGTCACCCCAATAGCAAGTCGCAGACCCTCCACCAAGTCCTGCATCATCAAATGACCTCTTCCCATATGCTTACCAGCATACATTTCCCACCGCTAGTGCCCTCCCCTTTGCTTCCAATTGCCTTAATCAGCAAAAGCTCTGCTATAGTCCCTGTGTCCCTTTTCTCTAAGCTTCCTCGCCTGTATCATCACAGTATGCTTTTAGAATGTCACTAGAAGCTTAGTCGCTTGTGTGGGGAGGGGAATCTCTGTGGATGTCACTATACCCTACTTTAAGCCCTGTGCTGCCCAGTGCAGTGGCCAATAGCCACATGGGCCCTTAACCATATGAAATGTGCCCAGCCCAAATTGAGCAATACAAGTATATAGAGGGTGCCAAAAAAGTAAAATATTACATCAACAATTAAGTATGGGTTACATATTGAAATGGTGTTTTATATGATACATTGGGTTAAATATTAAAGTTAATGTCAAATGTTTTACCTTTTTAATGTGGCTATATTTCTATTGGTGTCATTGGCCCCTTTCACCATAAAAATTCAATTTTTAAAAGCTCCCAGTGAGTCCATTAAGCCTCATGAAAAAAAAGGAAGAATTAAAGAGCAAGGGGATTGCAAATGAAAGAAAAGCCTATTGTCTTCTTTTTCTTTTTCTTTAACAGTCACTTGAAAGTTAAAAATTAAGGATACCCTCAGATCCCAGTGATGGCAGGGGAAAAAAAACTGAAACAGAATGAACTCTCAGACAAGTTCAACTGGAAGGAAGTGGGGGACGACACATTGTGGGGGATCCGGGTTAGGTGCAGGCATTTGACTGGGTTGTTTGGGCGGTATGGGGTCCAGTGGGTTTTGTTAGTCACCACGGTCAGTGGCTGGTGAGTCACTCTGCAGGGTTCCTTGTTATCTTGTGATAAAGGACAAGCACATGCCATACATTGTCTATAAGGGAAAAGAGACTCCTGCTGGGTTATCAGGTTATGAATTAAGGGCATGAGAACCTTTTATTTTCCTGTCCCCACGAGAATGCCTATTTCGCCTTTTTCTCCATCTTGTTTTACTTTATTTTGTGCCTGTGTGGGGGTGTTTACATGCAGAGGTCAGAAGACAACTTACAGGAGTCAGTTTTCTCCTTTCTATCATGTGGGTCCCAGGGATCAAACTCAGGTCTCTAGCTTGGTGGCAGATGCTCTTACCTGCTAAGCCATCTTGCCAGCACTATATGGACCATTATTTCAAAGATAGCATATTAAATACACTATCAGTGACCTCCTATGTCTCCAAAGAATTGATTATGGACACTGCAGTTAAATTCCATTCATCAGCTTACTCTTTAGAAACTTGTTTACATTATACTGGGAAATAAAAATGCTTATAAATTTTGTTCTGCAAATTCAAGTGGATGATCAAATAAAGTCATCAGAACCTGCCCTCTCCCAGTATGGTTGCCACTGACAACAAACAGGATATCATTATGTGCTTCCTCATGCAAGACTGTGGTCCCAAGCCTAGTCTGAGGACCAATAGAAAAGACAGAGTACTTGGCTAACACACACAAAGCCCTGGGTTCATCTATAGCCCTATATAAACTGAATGTATGGTACATGCCTGTAATGCCAACACTCAGGAAGTAGGGGCAGGAGGATCTCAAATTCATCTTCAGCTACACAGTGAGTTGCAGGTCAGCCAAGGACACATAAGAACCTGTAGAAAAGAGAAGGAAGAGAAGAGAGAAAGCAGCACTGACAGATGGACCATTTGGTGTTCCAGACAAGTGGTTTCAGGCAGTATTCAACTTCACAGTTTATATAAGGAAAAGGAGTGTCCAGGTGTAAATGTGCCCAATTTCCAGCAAACACCCCTGTTCTTTCATGCCCCCCCCCATCATGTTTACAGTACTTGCCTCTTTAAACCACTGTGGGAACCTGAAGGCAAAGACAACACAGGGTATGTTCAAGGTGCTTGCTGCCACCTCTGTAGGCTTACTCAGCCCCACGGTTCATCTGTTGTGAGCACTCCATGGTTTCTCAGCTGTTCCAGGGGGGATTCGGCCATTCCAGATTTGTCTTTGAGCATTCAATTGAAAACAGGCTACTTCGATATTCTGCTGTAAAGGAAGCTTGATATAGCTTTCCCTTCTCCCTAAAAACTGTGAAATAGACATTAAGCTGCCAGCAAGATTCTTGGAACCTATACCATCAGAATGGCTGTGAATAAGATCTCTGTTGATTAGTATACCCTGCTAGGGAGGCAGGGCCAAGAACCTCAACTACAGTCCTCTGCAGAACAAAGGGGTAACCTGTTCTCATCAACCCTTCCAACTAGGTCAAGTTGAAGTCTCACATTTTCTTACTAACAGCCCTTCATTCTACTCGCTTCTCCTTTGTAATTAAGAAAAGTATGCTCTCAATCCCATGACTCGTTTATCCCCGCTGAACAGCCAGCATTGTTCCAAGCACACAGTATGGTTCAATAAATGTTTGCAGAAGTAAATGGAATTGATGCTTTCCTTTGTAAGATTCTTGCCAAAGAATGTCATTTGTTTTAAGTTGTAGACAACTCATAGGATTACAAGAAGGTGGCTCACAACTGTCTATAATTTGAGCCGTAGAGGACTATATTAACTATACTATATGTATAATGCAAAAGATCAAAAAGGTAGTTGCTAATGATTTTAAATGCTTTCAAGAGATCGAGAGATGTGGAATGAAGCTTTTCATTGTATATTGCCTTTTTGGGGGTTTATTTGCTTGGTTTTTGGGGGGTTGATGCAGTGATATTTTATTTGTATATTAATAAATGAAGCTTGCCTGAAGATTAGAGTGCAAATCTAAGCCACTAGAGGTCAGGGAGTGGTGACACACACCTTTAATCCCAGGACTCAGGAGACAGAGGTAGATGTCTCTGTGTATTCAAGGCTACCCTGGGCTACACAAAATCAATCCAGAAACAGATCCAGGTGGTGGTGGCTCAAACCTTTCATCCCAGTGTTTGGGAGGCACACACCTTTAATCCCAGCACTAGGGAGATGGGGACAGAAGCGATATGGCTGGGCAGAGAGAGGCATATAAAGGGGAAGAGACAGGAACTCACTGGAGTGTGGAGTCTGATATTTGGTGGAAACACAGTGCAGTCTAGGCAGTCGCCCCTTTGGTCTGAACATTGGTAGAGGGAAAAGGTCTCTCTAGCTGCTTACTGCTCTGCCTCTCTGACCTTCAGCTTTAACCCCTATATCTGACTGTGGGTTTTATTATTCATGCTACAAGTTGGTTGGTTTTTTGGTGTATTTGCTTCCTTTGGTTTTTCGAGACAGGGTTTCTTTGCATAGCCCTGGGTATCTTGGAACTTGCTACAGACCAGGCTGAGCTCGAACAGATCTGCTTGCTTCTACCTCCCAAGTGTTGGGATTAAAGGCGAGTGCCACCATGCCCATCTGCTCTATATTCTTTTTTATAATTAAAAATTTGAGCCACGTTGTTATAGTTTGAATCTAAAATTATGCCTCAAAGCCTCATACAGGAAAAGCTCAGCTGACAGCTGGTGGGCTTCGAGAGATGATTGGATCATAGTTCAGTGGATTGTTGAGAGGCAGGAGGAAGAAGGTGGTGGCACACACCTTTAGTCCAAGCGCTCGGGAGGCAGAGGCAGAGAGGCCAACCAGACCTACAGAGTTCCAGGACATCCAAGGCTACACAGAGAAACCCTGTCTCAAAACACCAAGGAGCAAAGAGAGAGGAGGAGGTGGAGCGCTGTAAGGAGAGCTGTGAAGGGTATGTCTCATCCCAGGACTCTCTGTCTCTCCTTACTTCTGACGGCCATGAGGCAGGCAGCTCTGCTCCTTACCACTCAACATGCTGTACTGTTTCACTATGGGCCCAGAAACGTCAAAGTGACACCGACTGAAGCCGTGAGCCACATTGTGCATGTGAGTTAGTGCCCAGAGAGGACACAAGAGTGCTTCCGGTCCTCTGGAGCTGGAGTTCCTGGCTGGAGAAGCAGTACTTGCTTTTAATCACTGAGTCAGGCATTTTTTTTTAATTTATTAAAAATTTCTACCTCCTCCCCTCCTCCTATTTCCCTCCCACACTCCCTCTCCCCTCCCTCTCCAGTCCTAAGAAAAGTCAGGGTACCCTGCCCTGTGGGAAGTCCAAGGCCCTCCTCCCTCCATCCAGGTCTAGGGAGGTGTGAGTCAGGCATTTTCTTTTTAACATGATGAGAAAAAAGATACCATGTGGATACTTAAGCTATTTCAAAAAATAGATTGTAGTTTACTTTAAATTTCTACAAAATGGTATGTCAATATACCACCATTAGAGACCTATTTTTGGTCTCTGAAACCTTGATAATCATTAGAAATAGTAACTAATTTACTGGATTAGTAAAAAAAAATTAAGTTGAATCAAGTCAGTTCTCAAAACAGACAACAAAACTCCAGTATTAGCTTACCCGGTATGAAGACCAGGTATGTACTTAGTAAGCCAGAAAAGCGGGGCACCAAGAACTATTTAAAATCACTAATAATAGCATACTGTGGTGAGTTCTGCTTGCAATCATAGGATAGTATCTTCCATCAGATGACTTTCTGCTGGTCGCTACAATATGCACATAGTTGATGATACAAGGAGGCTGCAAAGAAAGGTCTAGGTGGTGTGCTACCCAGGGCTTCACGTTGGAATTACATGGGCCTTTGTAATACTCTCAAACCCAAGCTAATACTATCAAGATCTTTAGGGGTGAGACCAGGCACTGCTATTTGTAAAGCTCCAAGGGGCTGATTCCAATATGCATTCAAAGTAAGAAACCAAGGACCTAAGCAGACCTACTTTATAAAAATGGGGCTCATTAGTAGGGGGTGGGGGAAAGTTACAAGATCTAACAGAGGGATCGCTGCGTTCCAAGCCTAGCAGTTCCAAGCCTAAGGATATAACAAAAGGAGTTAGTTGTAAGCAGGTGTTTACCAACACTGGGCTGGAAACACTCATAGCCCAGTCTTCCTGCCATCCAAGAGATACAGCAACCACATCAACAGATGAGTGGCTGAACGAATGTGGCATAGCCATACAAGTAAATACACTTTGGGTATGCATGTGTGTTTGTACACTTGTGGATGCATGTGTGTTCATGGAGGACAGAGGTCAACAAAAAAGGGTCTCCCTCAGTGACCACCATATTGAGACAGTTTCCTGCTGAACCTGGAGGGCTCCCATTTAGTTAGACTAGAGAGCCCCGTGTCTCTGCCTCCTCAGCAATGGGCTTACAGGCTGTAATCTTGCAGCTCCTGCTTTTTTTTTAATTATTTATTTATTATGTATACAATATTCTGTCTGTATGTATGCCTGCAGGCCAGAAGAGGGCACCAGACCCCATTACAGATGGTTGTGAGCCACCATGTGGTTGCTGGGAATTGAACTCGGGACCTTTGGAAGAGCAGGCAGTGCTCTTAACCTCTGAGCCATCTCTCCAGCCCCCAGCTCCTGCTTTTTTATGTGGGTGCTAGGAATTGATTGTGTTTCCTCGCTAAGCCATCTCTTCAGCCCTCATTTTTAGTTCCTGTCTCTCTTTTGAAAGTCATGTTCCCTATGCTTTCCCTGTGAATTCTTTTAGCATGTTTATAATAAGCCTTTCCTTGGTAATCCTAATGTAAGTGGTCTATGGGCCTGCTTGAAGGCAAAGGAAGGTAGACAAAAGCTATAAGAAGACAATGGAGAACAATGGAAATGGTAGATGGTCTCTAAACATACAAAACCTCTCTCTTCTCACCTTAATCGCTTACAACCAAGTGATTGTTTACAACAAAAATAGCAATGTATTATGAGTTTATAACAAACACAAGGGAAATATGACAAAGTAATATAAAAGATGAAAAGAAGCATGAATTACTTTTATAAAGATCTTCCATTTGCCAGGTGGTGGTGGCACACACCTTTAATCCCAGCACTTGGGAAGCAGAGGCAAGCAGATCTCTGTGAGTTCAAGGCCAGCCTGGGCTACAAGAGCGAGTTCCAGGACAGGCTCCAAAGACTGTTGACAATAGCTTTGATCTGTGAAGAGGTCAATTTAAGAGAGCTATTTCTCCCACCTGGATAGAGACCTAACATTCCAAGCTGCCAAAACTTCAAAGAGAATCCAGTTGAGCTGTCCAATCACCTAGCCAAGGGAACACCTCTCAAGAAGACAGGTTCACCTTAAGCCACACTAAAAAGCTAGGGGTATAATGAATCCCTTTTAGAGAGCTAGTGTAGTCTTCCTTCCCACAACTCCCACCCTGAAGGCAGTAGTTTCCAGAAGGTTAGTCTGCCTTCCTGAATCACTCAGACAAGTGTCACTCCCTTTTCTTTTGTGTCCATTCGAAGCAGGCTCCTTTGCGCTCCTTTGCACCTTGCCTGCTTTGGTGGATTTTTTGTGGTTGTTATTGTTGTTTTTCTCAAAATCTAATAAAATTGTTCTCAAGATTTTTTTCACTCTATTCTCATTTTTTTTTTTGAGACAAAGTCTCACTACATAGCTCTAGCTGTCCTGGAACTCCCTGTGTAGACCATGCTGGCCTTTAATGTACAGAGATCCACCTGCCTCTGCCTCTCCAGTGCTGGGATTAAAGGCACATGCCACCACGCCTGGCCAAATTCTTTTTTTTTAATATTTATTTATTATGTATACAATATTCTGTCTGTGTGTATACCTGCAGGCCAGAAGAGGGCACCAGACCTCATTACAGATGGTTGTGAGCCACCATGTGGTTGCTGGGAATTGAACTCAGGACCTTTGGAAGGGCAGGCAATGCTCTTAACCACTGAGCCATCTCTCCAGCCCCCCCCCCCCAAATTCTTTTATTAACAAAATTCAGACTAAGAATTCTGAAAGGGTCTCCAAGCTCACTGGTAACATGTAGCAACTCAACCCAGACTCTCCAAATTTATGGTAACAAGATTTGGTGTGGGAGAATTGTCTGTATTCTGTCAATCATGTTCTAAATAAATGCTGGTTGGCCAGGCAGAAAGTATAGGCATGTCAACTAGACAGGAAGTAGAGGCAGGGCAATGAGAACAGGAGAATTCTAGGAAGGAGGAAGCCCATTCCTCCGAGTCCTGCCCAGACCACTAAAGAAGCAGGATGTGACCTGCCCCACTGAAAAAGGTACTGAGCCATGTG